AGACTCAAGCAATGCAGCCAGTGGATAGGGACAGATTCTGAGTGACACACCAGGGCGCCAACCAATTCCGGAGCGTGTGGAATGTTCTAGAGAAGTGCCACCACCATTCGGCTTTTATATATAAGGGAGATTGTTTTAGTGCACTATAAATGTCATCCCTCATCAATCCACCTCAGTATCAAAATACTAAGAGAATCAAATATGTCTGTCTTCAAGGAATATGGAAAAGCATTATCAGGCACCCTGGTGCAAGGTGCAGGCAAACGTTTCTCCAGTGCTTTGCTCAGATGTCACGGAATATTGACAAATATTCCAATTGCTAAAACCCAAGCTACCAACAATGGAGATACTGGCAACATGACTGAGGACGTGACCACAAGATATCCAGCATTGCCTTTTAAGTTCCATCTCAAGATCCGCCTGCAAACAGCTGAGTAGACGTTATTAGGCCAGTCATTAAAAAATCAAATCATCAATCTTTTTTAACAAAAAGAAAACAAACGGGGGGGGGGAGTGACAGTGAGTAGATTCGGTCTCTCGAATTTTCTTACAGCTGTTTCACTGACCTTCCTGGACACTGATGTGACCCTCCTCCAAATGCCACGAAGCCTTCCAAGAAAGCATTCTGCTCTAAATTTGCTTCTTTCCAACGATCCTGTGGGAAGAAAACTTTTGTTTCCAAAATCGGCTTTGCATAAATAAGCTTCACGTTTCCCCCATCCTCCAAACTAAAAACGGCCTCGTGCAGCTAATCCTTGGGTAAGAAGCTCTCTCAGTCAGTGGCATTTAAAGGTAAAGGTCTCCCTTGCTCGAAAGCCAGTCGAATCCGACTCTAGGGTTGCGGTGCTCATCTCCGTTTCAAAGCCAAAGAGCCAGCGCTGTCCGAAGACATTTCCGTGGTCATGTGGCCGGCATGACTAAACACCAAGGCGCACGGAACGCTTTTACCTTCCCACCGAAGTGGTACCTATTTATCTACTTGCAATTTCTTGCTTTCAAACGGCTAGGTTGGCAGGAGCTGGAACTAGAGACAGGAGCTCACTCCGTCATGCGGCAACCCGGGTCTTGAACTGCTGAACTACTGATCTTCCACATCCTGCAGTTCAGCGTCTTAACCACTTGAGCCACCGCAGCTCCTCAGTGGCATTTAGACATTGGTAAATAACGAACTGTAGGTTGGGGGGGGTGGTGGTGGTGGTGAAAAACCATAAACCTCTGCAGCCAGAATCTTATACATCAAATATTGGAAGACACCTGAGACACCCACGAAACAAGAATATATAAACAAAGTTTCAGAGGCAGCTGAAATGGATAAACTGACTTTATTGATGAAAGGTCTCCCAGACTCTATATTCCAGAACACTTGGACATGATTTTATAGCTGGTATAATAACTATGTTTAGGCAGATACAATTAAAAGACGACTCACAAGACAAAGCATATTTATATAATCCAACAAGATAGAACTGTAATGATATATACTCACATTATATAAAACCAGGGGTCATTTCCTGCAGGAGTGCACAGGAGCGGAGCTCCGGCAGTAAAGGGCCCAGGGGGTGGACACATGCAACAAGCCCCACCCCCTGCTCCTAGCACCCCTCAGTCAGAACAAGAAGCAGCCAGGTAAGCTGCAGAGCTCCCCCCCCAGGTAAGCTGCAGAGCTCCCCCCCAGTCCAGTGGCACCTTTAAGGCCAAGTTTGATTCAGGTACAAGCTCTCCCTCTTCTGCGAGGACAGATCTGCACGTCCCCTCCCCCCAATAGCTAGCAATCGAAAACAGTCCAGTGGAGCCTGAGCAGTGGGTGTCGCCTTCTGACACACTTCCGGTGATGTCAGGGGGTGTGGCATATGCAAATAAGTTATGCTAATGAGCTCCTGCACCTCTTTTTCTACGAAATGACCCCTGTATAAAACTAGAAAATATTGTTTATATTTAGGCACAAGTAATGTACTAATTATGAAAATCTACTACCCCCATCAATGTTATGTGTGTATGTTTGTTTTACTGTTTGTTTGTTAAGTTTGTATCGTATTGTGTTAAAAAACTTAATAAAATTCTGTCCTTAGGGGCAGTTTAAAAAAAAGAAAGAACCATAAACCGCTCCCAGGACCCCCAAAATCTTGGCCGTGAGACAAAGAAAAGCTGATGTTGGGGCTCACCTGGGAACTCCGGCTTGCAATTAAAAAAAAAAAGAGTTCAAATGTTTAGTGTTCCTAGTTTGCAAGAAAATTCGCACTGCCGAACACTTCTGACTTATTAACACACAACTAGTTGACTCCCTGCTAAGGAAAACAGAATGGCAACGTCTGTGTAACCAGGGTCAGAGGGCAGCCATGCTGGTCTGTGGCAGAACCGCTAGATCCGAGTCCAGGAGCACCTCAGAGACGAACAAGATTTTCGGAGCACGAGATTTCAAGAGTCGGCTCTCCATCAGATATCTGACTCTGATCTCATTGCACCTATCAGAAACCTGGATGGAACTCAGCTCTGGAGAGCCTCCGGATCACATGGCACCATAGATTCAAAAAGTGGCCTAGCAGTCCTGATGCCTCACAAAGATTCTAATCCCCACTCCTCCACATGCGGCTGCTGGTGTGACCTTGGGTCAGTCGCAAGCAATGTTCCCTCTAAGCTGTGGAGTCTTATGAGCAAAAATTCTACTTTGTGAACTACTGGCATTAAAGTTGTGAGTGAGCGATTTGGCTGCTGCATACATTAGTTTGCTCTGGAGCCATCCTTCCTGAGCTAAGACAAAAATGTGTGAGCCCGAGGCTAGAAAACTGTGTGCTAGCTCACACTAACTCAGCTTAGAGGGAACACTGGTCGCAAGTTCTCTCAAAGCTATTCTCTCACAAGCAGTTCTCGAAAGAGCTCTCTCAGCCCCACCTGCCTCACAGGGTGTCTGTCGTGGGGAGGGGAAGGGAAAGGGATTGTAAACTGCTTTGAGACTCCTTTGGGTATAAATCCAACCTTCTTCTACATCAGACTACTGCGCTCATGTAGAAAAGCTGCACCCGGGGTTTCAGGGGAGCGACTTGGTCATTCTAGCTGGCAAGAATGTGTAATGGAATTTGCCCATCATGTTTATGTACATGCTCTGCAGAGATAGAAAACAGGTACACTACCAGCACTTCATGCTTTAGAGCCAACTTAGCAATTACGGCAGCCACAGGTCCAATCTGTGGCCCCTGAAGCCATTTTGGTGTGCTACTGCGCTCATGTAGAAAAGCTGCACTTGGGGTTTCAGGGGAGCGACTTGGTCATTCTAGCTGGCAAGAATGTGTAATGGAATTTGTCCATCATGTTTATGTACATGCTCTGCACAGATAGAAAACAGATACACTACCAGCACTTCATGCTTCAGAGCCAAATTAGAGATTACGGCAGCCACAGGTGCAATCTGTGGCCGCTGAAGCCATTTTGGTGTAGTGGTTAAGTTTGGTGCCAGTTTGGTGTAGTGGTTAAGTGCGCGGACTCTAATCTGGGAGAACCGGGTTTGATTCCCCACTTCTCCACTTGCACCTG